GGGGGGGTGGCAAAGTGGTGGTTTGAGGAGAAATGAGACATACACAAGGGGATGAAAAAGAATTGAAAGACAGTTCTGGAAACGAAAAGTCGGTCTAAACATGGTCAAACATGTCAGTCCGTCTAAACATGCTGGGTCGTGCAGTTGGACTAGCAGCACGGTAGTTTCTATGTCTTGGTTGCCGGTCTGGAGAGGCAAAAATGTGGAAACGAAAAGTGAAAAAGTGCAAGTATCCTGAGAGCCCACCAGTCTGTAGTCAGACCCGGAGAGAGAGAGAGAGAGAGAGAGAGAGAGAGAGAGAGAGAGAGAGAGAGAGAGAGAGAAGATTGCGCCCATTTGCCAAACAAAAGAGTCGCCAAGCCAGCAAGGGCTCCAAAGTCCGTTTGTCTTGACTGGTGCGGCCAGCCTTCTCACCCCCGAAAGACAAGGCGCGTTAACGGCCGCGTCCTCGCAAAAAACACCTGCAAAGCGCACACTGGTGGCTTAAACCACCTCCACCTCCCAAGTTGCATTTTTGGATTTTGCCCACCCTTGAAATAGGAAACCGTTTCTCCTTTTTCCTCCCCCCTCTACACAACAACATCTATTTGCGCCGCCTCTCCCCCACCCAACCCCCCCCCGCCCAAAAAGAACAAAATTCAACAAATAGCATTTTTATTTTATTTTATTTTTTCACAACACACCCTCCTGTGCTGGTAGCGCCGGTACGATCAGACACTACTGCCGTCTTCACCCGGAAATAACGCCCGGGCGTTATATTTAACTTCACCGTAAACAGATCAGATTTTCGTTCTTACTCTCTTTTTCTCAAATAGAACGCCCTTTCAACGCCCGGGCGTTATATTCAACTTTACCCTAAAAAGAGCAGATTTTCGTTTTTACTCTCGTGTTCAGAAGGTTTTCTCAAATAGAACGCCACTTCGAATATAATGCCCGGACGTTATATTCGAATAGAACGCCCTTGCGGTATATTTGAATACAACGCCCGGGCGTTGTATTTGAATGTTACATGGCCAGAGTGCCTTGTACAGAGGTAGTATACATGGGTTGAAAGGGCGGGGAGGGGGGTATACATGGGTTTTAAAGGGGGCTAAAAGGGGTTTTTGACTTCCAAGGGGCATATTTCGCTTTGGCCTTTTGTTTTCATTTTTTATTTCCGAGTTTATATAACTTTATAAGGAATTCTGTAGTGACCCTCGGCCAAAAGATGGTCGCATTGCAATTCTGGACAAGATTTGCTTTTCAGTACATTTTACAGAATTTTTTCATTCTTTTTTTATTCGGAAGTTTGGGCCCCCACCGAAGTTGCCACCCATTTACTGAATGTAACGCCCCGGCGTTTTAAACAGTGGGGGCCCAAAATTTCGAATAAAAAAAGAATGAAAAAAATTCTGTAAAATTTACTAAAAAACAAATCTTGTCCACAATCTGCAGTACTAATAGCTCCCGGCGTTATCATAGCTGGGCCAAGTACTGGTGCTTTATAACGCCCCGGCGTTATAAACGAATACAACGCCCGGCGGCCGCTATATTCATTCATATACACCCCCCCCGCCTTATTTTCGGGTGAAGATGGTAGCCCTGGGGGGTAGGCCCCCTCCACTGGTGGGGAGCATCACCTGCTGGAAACCGGCTCCAGCGTCCCTTATACAAGATAACACAGCCGAGCGGGCAAAACGTAACTGAGAGCTGCCTGCCTGCCAGCATTCACTGCTCGTATCGTAACTTCAGAGGATTGACTGAGCAGGATTACCACAGTGAAAGTAAAATGCAATTCGGAATGTATGCTGGACTAGGCCAGCGTCCTTCCTCAGACGACAGCACCCAGGCCCCTGCCAACATCACCTGCTGGCTGCCTGGTTGCTCGCTGTGCCGTGTTCAACAGCATGTAACCTCTGCGTATACATCTCCATACCACTGCAAATCCAGGACGGAGAGACGATGGGGCAGAAAGGCATCGGGGATCGCGTGTTCCCGATGAAAGAGAGAGGTTCACCAGTGCTTTTTTGAGTGTACGTACCTCCACCACGTTCCCCACAACTCTCTCTATCCTCCGGCATAGCTACCCAATTGCCCTCTTGCAGCTGCGGCCCTCTGCGCAGGGTGGGCCTCCGTTGCTCGCCCGTTTTCCAGTTGTTGTTTTTTTTTTTTTTCCTCACCATCGCATGATTTCTCTTTTTTTTCAGAGTTTCTGTTTGCAGGAACCGAGAGCAAAAAATCACCGAACTCGGGGTGCTCAAAATTTCACGTCCCCTATCATCTGGGCTACTGGCTGACCTCAGGTAGACTGAGACGATCCCCAGTGAAGGGCTGACCGGCCGGTGTGCGCCTGCAGCCAGTGGTGGCCTTGAAAACCACCAACATTATGCATCTGCGACGGTTGGGGCA